CAACGATTCAAAAGGTGTACGTACGTACGTACGTACGTACGTACAATAGCGCTTCTTTGCACATAACGGAGCCTGAATGAGCCATTTTCTTGGGGCAATATTGTACTACTCAGTCGTTACGACTGGATCTAGATGGAGTCAGATGTGAATATCATGGCTTTAGGAAAGCTTTTCGCGGCCTGCATATGTAGGTAGACCTAGTCCTGATCAACAACAAGAACCTCACTTGGTCATCAGATGGGCTTGTACTTACTAAGTAGATAGACCGGCAAATTAGATCACACAGTGTCGTCCTGTTCACTGCCTATACTTCAAACCTACCAACACCATCTCGGGCAACGGCATCCTTCCACACCGAAAACTCGCGGTTGGCACCCTTGTAGTCTTGACTGAAGTTACTCAACAGAAGGATCGCCCATTTCAAGACATCTACATCTGAAATGTATCTCAACCTAACGTAGACCCTATAGCGATTTGACTCCGACCCCATTAACAACCCCGGTTTTTCGCCCCGTCAACTTGACCACCTGTAGACAAAGCCGAATCAAAAGCCAAACATCTCACGTCTCGAAAAAAGATCAAAGGTGGCAGACAAACGACACACATACACACAACCGCCAATCTTTCATAGACAGTTTCGATTTCAGCTCATCTACCTATCAAAAGGTAAATCTCCACCCCCAACTCGCGACCATGACCCCAGACCCATTTCTTCGGGTACCAAGGCACATGAACATGGCACCAATCTCCAATCTGTCGTCATTCTCGCAACCTCGTCAACTGATCACCTCCCTCTCCTGAGGCAAAACGTCGTACAGACTTCACGTATCATAACAGACAGACACGCAGAGACCCAAAGCCGGCACCGCGAGCACCAGGCTCGACATTAGACAATTGCCAGAAAAAGACACATATCGCTTACATCCACACTCAAACTCACGTCCCACCTGCCCACACTGACGCACACACACGAGAGAGAGAGAGAGAGAGAGAGAGAGAGAGAGAGAGAGAGAGAGAGAGAGAGAGAGAGAGAGAGAGGAAAAGTTGAATATGTGCAATAAAAACTGAACATTATCAATTCAAAGAGTTATGGTAGAAGAAGGGGTGGTGTTGGTTCCAAACGAGACAAGTCGTAGCTCAAAACCTTTGAAGCAGAATGATCCAGAGCTCAACAGGTCCATGGCAACAAAAACGCCCCAACACGAAAGGGGGGTGGTATGGGAAACAAGACATAAACAAAACGCCACACCTTTCGTTTTCCCCTTGTGCCCTTTAATCATTTCAGGTCCGCGTCATGGGGGGGGAAGTGTGACGAATAAACAAAAGCCCTGTCATCCATAGCATGGAAAAAAAACCAAAGCAAAAAAGCCCGGGAAAACAGGACCCCCGTAGACGCCAGTTCGTTACGTCAATGCTGCTCTTCTTCTTCATCTGCTTCTTCTCCTCCCTCCTCAGACAATTGCTGTCTTTCACTCTCTCCACATCCGCCACTTTAATGCTTTGTTCCGTTCATCGTTTGGTTTCGTTCGTTTCGTAGGTAAATTTAAAAATTAAGAAAAGAAAAAAAAGAGAAACAGTCGGTATGGTAATTACCGACCAATCAAAAAGGAGGCCGTTTGTTCATCAAGACGACTGGGTCTTCTAGTCCCCACGTCCGCGGTAGTTGCCCATCTTCTCGATCGAGCTCATGATACCGCTCCGGGGCCCAAACTCGCTCATCGGTCTAGGTCTTGGAAGGCCCTTGGTCGCGGGACCGGCGCTGCCGTTACGCTCGTGAAGGGACCCACGCGCGGCAATCGATCCGGGCGCCTTAAGGCCCGAGCTGCGGCCGATGCTGCTGCGGAAGTTGTTCTCCGTGTGGCTTCTAACCGGGGGACCGGGCGTCCGCGAGGCAACGGGTGTCGGCGCGGGCTTGGGTGTCGGCGGCGGGGGCGCGGCGTTCTGGATCGCCATCATTTCCTCGGCGAGCTGGACCAGCTCGCCCTTCTCGACGCGCTCCTGGGCGAGGAGGTCGCGGAGCTCCGAGTTGTCTCTCTTGACCGACATGACGACGGCCTCGAGCCTGTGGGCGTCGGCGCTGAGCTCCTTGATGTGGGCCGAGTCGCGGACGGCCTGGGCCTTGAACTCCTCCTCGGCGGCGACCTGGGCAGGATCGACGCGGGTGATGGTGTTGTCGCGGCGGATTCTGTCGTTCTCCTCGGTGAGCTCCTCAATCTTGACCTCCAGCTCGCGCACCTTCTTCTCCCAGCGGGTCTCGTAGCTCTTCTTGAGCGCCGCAACCTTGGTCTCGTGCTTGCCTTTGTAGAGAGCGTGCAGCTCGCGGGCCACGCGCTCCACCGCAATCTCAACCTCCTTGGAGGTCGCGGCCGCACCGCCCCTGGGCGAGGAGGGCTTGTCGTCAGTGGACTTGCCGGCGCGGAAGCTAGCCAGCTTACTCTCGGCCTCTTGAGCCATAGTCTCGGCGGCCTCACGTCGTCCCTCACTCTCTGCAAGCTTGGATTCGAGCTCCTCGCGCTCCTGCTGTGTGTGGACAATCTCCTCCTTTACGCTGCGGAGGACCTTTTCCATCTCGCGACTGCTCTTCTCCCACATTTCCTTCTCTTCGGCCACTTGCTCTCGCATCGTCCGCTCTTCACGGGCCTGCTCCAAGCTCTCGCCGACTCGTTTTTCCGCATCGCCAACAGCCGTCTTCAGAGAAGTCACTTCGGCCTCCTTGCCAAGAAGCGATGCCTTGAGGCTGCTGATTTCGGACAGAAAATTCGACTTTAGACTCTCGAGTTCTCTAGGTGTAATGGTCGGGATGCTGCGGGGAGTAGGCAGCGCGGGAATGTCAAAGTCGAGGAGGTTCGACATTTGGCGGGCGGGAGTGGCATTAGGGTTTGCTCTGGAAGGTGAGGTGTTGCCCCGCCTGGACGGCGATTTGTGCGGGAACCGCTGGCTAGCCGTGAAATCCAACAGGTTGGTAGTGTTACCATCAGAGTCCTGTCCCGAATGTCGCCTCGGAGTCTCCTGCTGCTCGTGCACGGTCTCTGGCCTCCCTCGCGGGGTCATGCCGCCGATGCTCGCGTACTTTGTGGGAGACTGGCCGAGTTTCGCGAACATGGTCAGGTTGGGAACGGCGGAGAAGGTACTGAATGCGCTCATCATTGACTCGTCGGGATTGGCGAGACTGCTCTGGTCCTCGTAGCCCGCATGGCCCAAGTCGTGGTGCTCTGCCTCGCCCTCGCCCGCGCTCATTGTAGTCGTGTCGCCGCCAATGGTCTCGTCATTCTCCAGCTCCGTATCGTCGTCCTCAAAGATCTGGATGGCGTGCTTCAGACCCTCGTTGTCGCGCATGGCGTCCTCGAGACTGATTGTACGTTCGCGAGGCGGAGGAGAGACGGTCGGAGGAGAGATGGAACGTGACGAAGGCTCGGCGGACGGGTTGCTGACTCTGATAGGGAAGCGTTTGACCGCGTCGGGAGAGATTACTGTCTTGCGAAGCGGGCTCCGCGCTTGCTTTTCCGATGTCTCGGAGCCGGCGAGTAGCTTGAGCGGTGAGGGTGCGGTGCCAGACATGACGCGTGAGTGGCGCTGCGGCTTGATTGCCGTCGCCGGCGCAGAGGGCGGCGGCGACGGCGAGGAATCCGAGGGAGAAGGTGGCATGTTCTCCTGGTCTCGGGCGTTGTCGTCTACAGAGTGCGAAGAGGTGATTGTGGTGTTGGTTGTGGTTGTGGTGGTGGAGGAGCTGTCGCTGCCGCTCTCATTACCGCCGCTCGTGGTTGTCTCAGTGCGGGAGTGGACCACCTCGCAGTGCTCAAAGAAACCGCGGCTCGTTGCGTCTTCAGTCAGGGTCGTTGCAGTGTTCAGTCTTGATTCGTTTGTCGGTGACAACGGCGTCATTGTGCGCGAACTCCAAAAAGCTAGAAGTGGTTTCGTTTGGTTTGCAAGCGTTGGAAGCGCGGAAACTAAGGTGAGGTAAATCGTCAATTGATTGATATTTCGATAGGATGTCTAGCAAAACCCCATTTTGGGCTCGCTTGTGAGATGAAGGGGGTGCGAAGGGGCCCAGGCTTGTTTGCTGTTGACAGAGCAACGACTACCGAGAGGATGCACAGACAAAGGGGGTTGGTGGGGCTCAGGGTCGCTACAGCAAATTCACACACCGAGGGCCTTCACCGAGGTCACCGAGGTCACCGATGGCGCGCAAGGTGAGGCTGGCCTCTATTCTCGGGTAGCTCAAGTCGTCTTTTCTTGAAGATGCACGCAGCACGTTAGGGTGAAGCTTTCCAACTCCAGGGAACCTAATATAACACCCAAAATCATTTCAGCTATGACCCTCTCTCCAGCTAGACCTTGGAAGTTGCAGTGCCCTAGCTCCAACATTGCACGTTAGGCTTTCAGAGTTTCGGAAGGGCATTGCCTGTGCGATGCAGGAAACTGGTCAAATGGGACGCATGTAAAAGTGCAGCACAAAAGCGAGGGTCGAGATGAAGGTCATGAACTAGGCAAGGTAGATAATAGTATTTATACGTGTAAATCGGTGCCTTCATATCTAAGCAAGGATACTGCTCGTCTTGCACGACCGAACGCGCCATTAGCTAAAGAAAAGAGACCGCCTCATTTCCCACAGTGAAATGGGAAAGGGGAGTTAATTCCTTCCGTCCATCAAATGAAACTCACACGCGCATCTAATCGATAAGCATTCACCGTTAGGTACCGAGCTGTTCCTCGAGAATCGAACCTCAGCGAGCATCGGAGGCTGGAGTCCTGACCGTGGACTCAACATCACCATGAAACTTGGATGCGCATGCAACACCACACCGCCGCTGCATTGTCAGCAAATGTCCCCAAAGTATAAAAAAAACTACCGCTGGCGTGGGGGTGCCAATTTGGTTCTGGTCCAGCAGCAGCTAGCGCGATCTGTGAAAAGTATCAGCGGGCCTGACGAGTCAGTCCTAATTGGGTCCCTGCATGACCCGACATCTCCGGGAAGCAGGCACAGACATTTGCACAATCACGCAGTTGGTACAATTGACGAAAAAGACGAGATGAGTTGAAGCAATGTGTTCATGGACAGCAAAAGAAATGGTATTGAAGGATCCCAAAAGTCAAGATGCAAACTTTTGAACCAGGCCCAGATCCCCTAGAATCCGGTCGTATAAAGTACAAAAGTCCCCCGTCCCCGGCACAGTGGTTAGGAAATGGCCATTCCGAGTAAATTTTTTATCTTCTCCCAAAGCAAAAACGCCGAACCGCTTACTTCTGGTTCTCGGGACGCAGAGAGCTGTAGTAAAGATAGATGTTAGCCAGTGATCATCATGGTGAATAGAGTAAAGTGTTGTCAAAACGTACCGGACGGCTCTGCCGGCTCTCCAGATCTCAAGGTTGCGGATCTCCTCCATCTCAGCCTCGAACTTCTGGCGGTAGTCCTTCTGGGAGTTGTACTCCAGGGAGCGCTTGGTCTCGGAACCATCCTTGACGGCGTCGTACAGGCTGTTGAAGACGGGCTTAAGGGCGTCCTTGAACTTGGGGGACCAGTCGATGGCGCCGCGGCGGGCGGTGGTGGAGCAGGCCTCGTACATCCAGTCCATGCCGTTGGCACCGATCAGCGGGTACAGGGACTGGGTAGCCTCCTCGACGGTCTCGTTGAAAGCCTCGCTGGGGGAGTGGCCGCGCTCGCGGAGAACCTCGTACTGAGCGAGGAACATGCCGTGGATACCGCCCATGAGGCAGCCACGCTCGCCGTACAGGTCGGAGTAGACCTCCTTCTCGAAGGTGGTCTCGTAGAGGTAGCCGGAGCCGATGGCGACGCCGAGAGCCTGGGCCTTCTCCTTGGCCTTGCCAGTCACGTCCTGGAAGACGGCGAAGGAGGAGTTGATACCACGGCCTTCACGGAACAGGGAGCGGACGGTACGGCCAGAGCCCTTGGGGGCGACGAGGATGACGTCAATGTCCTTGGGGACGTCGACGTGGGTGACGTCCTTGAAGACGGGGGAGAAGCCGTGGGAGAAGTAGAGGGTCTGCATCGGAAGTCAGCTTTGAAGCTCCAATTGACCTATTCAATTGCGCGAGAAATGACGCACCTTGCCCTTGACGAGCTGGGGCTTGATGGCAGGCCAGGTCTCGGACTGAGCGGCGTCGGAGAGAAGGTTCATGACGATGGTACCGCGGGTGATGGCCTCATCGACATCGAACAGGTTCTTGCCGGGAACCCAGCCGTCCTGCTGGGCGTCCTTCCAGGACTGGCCGTTCTTTCGGACACCAATGATGACATTGAGGCCGTTGTCACGGAGGTTAAGACCCTGGCCGTGACCCTGGGAGCCGTAGCCGATGAGGGCGAGGGTGTCGTCCTTGAAGTACTCCTACAGACGATTGTCAGTTCCAATTGACTCCTTTCCAAGCATCCATGGTTGTTTGTGACTCACAAGAAGCTTCTCTTGGGGCCAGTCGGCACGCTCTGTGGCATCAACATCAGCAAATCTCTCCCTCTGGATTTCTCTGGCGAGTCATTCGCAAGGGGTAAAGCAAAGGACTCGTCAAATCTGATCGTTTTCCTTACCGTAGACGTCCTCCTTGTGGCCGGCGAAGTCCATGGTCTTGACACCGCGAGCCTGCTGCTGGGCAGGAGCGACGAAGGCCTTGTTGACCTGGGCAGAGGCGCGGACGAGCTGGCGGGCAGCAACGAAGGTGCGCTGCTGCGTGGCAGGCTTGGCCGCCAATTGGCGGGCCATTGGCGAACGAAGCGCCTTGGAGAAGCTGCGGGAGGCCATTGTGACTGTGTGTTGGGGGAGGGAGTGGAGAGGGTATCCGTACAAGTCAATTGTAAGGAAGAAGAAGGAAGAGATGGATGAAGGAAACAGAGTTTCACTGATGGGAAAAAGGCGTTTGGAATTGGGAAATTTTTTACTGGCGTAGAGACGGGCGAGCTGACCCCCGACTTCGGCCCAGCTTGGTCGTTGGTGGGTTAGCCTGCTGCGTCGTCCTGCTGCTGGCCTGTGCCCATGGTGGGGAAGATGTCTGGAAGCGTCCGGGGTTCGGTAGGGGGCTCTCCAAGTGGGAGAGCGGGTACTGGGGACTTTGGAGAAGGCAGGGAGTTTGCTGGGCCCAGCGGGTAACATCTACTTGGTCCGGTTCTCATTTGACAGCGGCCTTACCTAAGAACCTCGGGGAGCAATCAACGTTATTGCCGGCGAGGCGGGTGCTGTGGAGCAGGGGAGAGCCCACCACACCGACATCGTAGCCCAGTGGCCAGACAGGAGTCACACCAGATGGGCCGCAGGCGGAATCCCACCGACTACTGGGGCGCCGGCTACGGCCGTTTACCTATGCCTTCGGCCTCTCTTTACAGCTGCTGACCGGTCGCCGGCCCTGAGCTGCTGTGACTCCTCTCTCGAGGAGCTCTGACTCTTTCTTCCAACCTGCTTGTACGCAGTACGGGTACCATTATGGGGGAGTCAATCGGCCCGTTGATTGGCTTCCATTTTCCATGTTTGCTTCTTCTTCTTCTGCCGTGACACGGCAACGCTGTTTGCATTCCAGCTACCTTACGTAGTATGCTTCTACGATCTCTCGAAGCTCACCACTTCTTCCCACTAGTCACTACACCTCCGTCTCCCACTTGACTTCCGCTCTTCAGAGCGCATCAACGACCCCTCCTGTGCTGCGCTCTCGCTAGTGCTACCTCTAAACTGGGCTCGATGTCTTGCCATAATATCCTCGAGCTCTTGTAATTTGTAATCTTGTCTCCCCAAACGCCTGACGACGATGCTTGCTTTTGATGCCCACCGACCCCTCAGATGCGCACTGCACCCTTCTGCGAACCATCGGCCTGCCCGTCCGTCTCTGGTATCAAATCCGGGCTGGCCTCTTGTCTCGCCAAAGAGTTATGTCGTTGGAGAAAATTCAGCAGCGAGAAGGAAGCGATCCCCTTGCTGTTGTAGACCCTATTTCAACACACGGTCGTAACTCTGTCCTTTGACAGTGCCACCGCCCATCGCGGTCCGGACGTTGCGCTTGAATCCCTCACGGTTGAGTCTAAGATCTTCGGCGGCCTCCTTGTTCAGAGGATCAGAGGCGTTCGGCTCGAGGAACAAGAACTGCAAAAAAGGTCGGTCAGCCGGCGCCCACCCACAGCCGTGCTTACTACTCTTGAACATACCTGGAGTCCGACAATGACCGCATTCAAGTTAAGGACGGGCTTCCAGTCTTCGCGAAGAATGTTCAGGCACACCTTGCCCTCCAGGTCGATATTAGGGTGGTAGATCTTCTCCTTGCATCGGACTTTCGGCGGCTCGTGGGGGAAGTTTTGGTTGATGTCGAATGTGAAGGTGAATCGGCCGGTCCGGTACATGCCCTCATCGGGCTCGATCGTAAGCGTGAAGTGGAGAATGTCGTCGGCGTCAGGGAAGTCGGTCTTCATCGTTGAACCGAGAGAGAGTTCCGAGAGATCTATTAGCGAGCGTCAGCAGCGAGATCGTGGTTTTTTTTTCTCCTTGGCTGGCTGAGGGGTTCAGACCTTTCTGCACACGAAGTTGCGCGGCAGTCACCTTCTTCTTCTTGCCACCCGCAGCGTCGGCATTTTCAGCCTTCTGCTGCTCCTTCTTCTGTAAGAGACGTCAGTAGTCTTCTTTGCCGAGAGGTTCCGGTGATCTCTTACCATAGACCAAATCTTTAGCATCTTGTCCGATCTCTGGCGGGGTGTCTGCTGGGAGGAGTTGGCGGGGCACTCTGTGGGAATGGCGAGGTGTAAAACAAAGGCACGCACACGACCGGTGGGGATGAAGTGATTTCCTGGAGCAGTGGTGTTTGCGCGGAGACCAAGCAATCAAACAACAGCAAAGTATAGTCGTCTCTGTCCGGAGTCTTGCGATCTTGGGGCGGAAAGGTGCCTGGAGGAGCGGACCAACTGGGCACCAAGTCAATGCGGTCACTTTCTGGTAGCGATAAGATAGGGCCGGGGTACTGTTTACCCGGAGATCTACCGATCTAGAGCCACTCACGTCAGCTTGCCTCAGGTCCTGGTCGTTGAACAACACCGGTCTGAACAGGTGAAGATATAAAAGAACGAAAATGATCTCAGGCTGCGTATGGAGAAACGGAGGGTCTTTCAAAAATCCAACACTCAGGTAACATGATCGGCAAATACCCGCGGCCTTACATGCAGCCTCCAAAGTTGGGCGGAAGCTTCTTTTCTTCCCGTTTACCGGTCGGTCACCAACCATAAGTCTGTGAAAGCAAATGCTTTCGATTTCCATCATCGTGTCTCTGGCTATCCTTCCTTGCAAACTAGAAAGATAAAGTTTAAGTCATTGTCATTGTCTGATACTAAGCGTAAGGTATTGTATCCATGTAAAACGCCATGAATGCTGCTTAATCGAAACTACTTTTACTGAGCTTCCGCCCACTTCATCAAGAATCTGCCGAGTCCCGTGTCCTTTATTATTTAACACATACCCAGAATGTAAAAACACCGGCGGATTCGTAGCAATGAGCCAAGGCTGGCAAGAGTACAGTCTTCCCTCTGATACACATCCAACATGCTTCGATAAGTTCGGCGCCTGTCTGGATTATAGATACCCCTTTGTGTCTGTTTACCGTCTGGCAAAGCAGCACATGATACCGGTCCTGCCCAAGAACCACAAGAATCCGAAGAAACGAACCAGTGACAGAACGGCAGTAGAGTACAGCAAGAAGCTGAAGTAGGAAGCAGTACGTGCTGATGCAGTTTTCTAGAAATGAGATTTAGCTTGGTAGTCAACACGTATTTTGGAACATTTGAACTTACGCCAATGCCGAACGAGTTGAAGTTATCACTCGTAATGACGATAATGAGGAAGGTGTTGGAGAAAAGCCAAGACACGACCAGACCGGTACGGAAAGACTTGTACGAGTCTTCGATGTCCGGCTTCTCGTTCTCTGGAGCTTCCTTGAAAGGCTCCAGCGCACGCTTCACCGTCGATTCGAATTGACTGTCGATATCTTCTTGCGGCTTGTCAATTTCTTCTACCACAGCTTCGTCCTTCTCGCCCTTGGTAACGTGTGCGGAAGGCAGAGCCTCGCTACTGTCTGAACCCTTTGTACCCCAAGACACATCGTGCCAGTTGTTGAAGGCGTAGACCATCAGAATGTTGATGTAGGTCGACATGAGCACCAAGTAGTGAGGGAAGGAGGTGAACATGTGCCAGGGGTCGAGGTACATGAAGGAAGCGATGAAGTTAAGACCGTAGATAGTAACCAAGGCAACGAGAATGACACCGGCTGCGTTTGTACCTCCAAAGAAACTGGCGACAAAGTCCTCGCCGGAGTCGAGGCTGATCTGCTCGCCGATGGGTTTCTTGAAGGCTTGGACGACCAAGTACATCGAAAGGACCAGGATGTAGGATTGGATCAGACCGAAGACGACGAAAGAGGCAATGTAGGTGTACTTGGAACCCTTGGGTCTGTTACCCAAGGCCAAGATGAACTGCAGAATAACGAAGGCCAAGTAAATGTACTTGAGAAGGGCGTTGACGATAGGAGTGGCAGTGTCTCCGAAGGGCCAACCGCTGCGGGCCACATCGGGGTCGTCGGAGGTGACGGCGGTACCGACAAGATCCATGATAACCGTTGTAGTCAGGTAGTAAGAACCCAAACTGAACCATGTGAACATGACCTGGAGGACGTTGTAGATGAGCTGAACGTGGAAGAAGAACATGCGGATGATGTTGTGGCCGGACTTGTACATGCGACCAAAGTGCATGAGAGAGTACAGAGAGGCAGCGAAGGAACCGTTGAGCCAACGACGACGTTGAGAGATGAACTCGGCAGCACCCTCGGGAACATCGGTCTCACCCTTGGCGGCCTTGATGTACGACAAGTGCCACTTTTGACCGGCCTTGGCGACCAGCTCGAAGCAAAGAATACGATCCTCGGCCAAGAACATGTTCTTCTTGAAAATGTTCATTCCGTCGATACCCTTCTTACCAAGGATCTTGGAAAGAGTGTGATCACCATGGAAGTACTGCTCCAGCGGGCGACCCATGATCGCACGGAAGCGGTAGGCGGAGAAAGCACCGGGCAACACAGAGACGTATCCGAAAGAGCTCTCAAGAGGCTTGTCCAAGATGTTGGAAATCTTGTACTCGAAGTTCTGGACAGCAACCAAGGGGTTAAACAGCTTCTTGCCACCTTTGCCCAACATAGCGTGGATCTCACCACAAGCACCACCGAGATCCTTGTCGTTGTAGAAGCCCTCCCAAAGCGCGAGCAGCGAGCGAGGACTGGGCTTGGTACCGGCATCGATGAGAATGCAGACTTCGGGATTCAAGATGCGGCCGAAGGCGTTGAAGAGCCATCTGTGAGAGTTGATCTTCTTGCTGTTCTTCTGCTTCAGGCAGAAAATGAACTGCACGGGGGGGAGAGTAGAAGGGCCGTCGTCAACAGGGCGGATAAGCTGCTGGTTGGGTGTGACGGACAACTGAGAGGTGTACTCGAAGATGTGAGCGAGCGTCTCCTTGCCGTCGACATCCTTCTTCACGACACCATCCTGGTAGATACCGACGGTTGCGAGAACGTCCAAGACGGCCTTGTCGGTCTTTTCGATACCGTCGAAAACCAGACAGACGACAATCTTTTGCCAAGCCGGGCCGCCCTTGTTCCAGAAGGTGGACTTCTTCAGGTTGACAATATCGCGAATGTTCTGCATGACACCATGGAGGGTTCTGGAGAGCAACACCTTGTCTTCGTTGTAATAGGTAATTGCGATGAGGAGCTCGGTGTGTCGGTTATACATTCTCGGGCGCAAATCGTAACCGTTCTTGAGGGTGAAGTCATTGGGATCGCAAGTGGCGGCGGTGTAGCGCATCTTCATGAATTCTTCGCTGCCGCCCTCGACATCGCGGTACTTTGGCTGGACAGCGTTCTTGATGGCACTGGGGACCGGGTAGTCGATGCTCAGGACGGAACCCTGAGTAAGCTTGATCTTACGGGTCGCGTAACGCTTCAGACCGCCACCTTGGTTACCGGGCTGCTGTCTGCGGGTCCAGCTCTCGTCGGCGTCCACGGTGGAGGGAGGTCTGTTCCCGTAGCCAAAACCACCAGCATCCGAGTCGAGCTCATTGCTGTAGCCAGAAGCGAAAGCTGTCTCGCCAGGAACTGGTGTCCGAGCTCCGGCACCAGGAGCGTATGATTCTGAGAGACTGTATGCGGAGACTGGGCGGCCAGGGGTCTCGCCAGTTCCGAGATGGCTCTCGTAGGAAGCAGGTGCGTGAGGGTCTCTCAGAAGAGACTGGCCGGCTTCGTCAACTCCCTCATCTTGAGGTGGCAGGTGGTACTGGGGAGAAGAGCCAGATTAGCAATTGAGGCTACTTTGCGCGGTGGGCAAGGAGGAGGTGAAGCTTACTTCTCTGCCAGATCCAGGCGGAAGGTCCTGCATGTTGTGGCCGCCATCATAATCGTTTTCATGCCCCCCGCGGTACGCCATGGTTACTAGAGGCGAGTTCAGAAGTAGCTGATGCTAGTATGGATGCGATGAATGATGTGAAGGGTTTTTTTTCCTGCTTCGTTGAGGGTGGGATTAGGTAGGGTTGGTTATATCGTCAGCCGAGGGACTCGAGCAGAGAAGCCTAGGTCGGGTTGGTTGTGTCACGCGTTGAGCGCGAACAAAGGCGCTGTAGGTTAGAGAGATGTGCAGCCGAGAAAGCCACAACCCCAGTAACGATTGGTGAAGCGAAGGAGGGAAAAAAGAGAAAGAGGTGAGGATGGATGGAGGGCTGGGGGTAGGAGGAGTAGAAGGGGGGAGGGTGACGATGCAGGATGGGGCAGTAAATGGTTAAAAAAGGGTCCTGACGGGCTGGCGGCCTTGCTTGGTGGGAACCAGAAACTTGCAGCTGGGTGGTGAGAGCGAGCGTGCAAGCACCAGGTGGATAGGATGGCTGAGGTAGTAAGGATGGATGAGAATAGCTCTAGGATTGGCCCGACTGGGCTGAGGTGGACGAAGATGAGGATGGGGACTCGGCAGCGAGCAGACGGTTTTCTTTCCGTTGCTGCAGCAGTGCAGAGAGAGAGAGACCAAGGAGGAGGAGACCAAATTCAAGGACAAAAGGTACATTGAGATGGTGCGGCATGAGAATAGGAGAAGTCACTTTTGCATCCCTCCCCGGCCTGTTTCCTGAGACGAGGTACAAACGACGAGATGAGACTTGGTGTTGCTTTCCTCCTTCCCGACTATGAATATTCGTGCCTACCTACCTTACCTGCCTTAGCTACGTATGTTGTGCTGTACGGAGTACCTTACTGCCGTTCGTTCTTTCTCCTCCCTGCACCTTGAGCCAAGGCACCGTAGACACAGAAAACCAAGGTACCTTGCTCCATAATCTGCAGCAAAATGAAGGTAAGGTACCTCGCGTCTCTCTCTTTTTTTTTTGTTCTGGTCCCCTTTCATTATTAGCTTGCTCCACCTCACGTCAACAGACTGGGGAAGCTGTGGCTTAGCGCTGCTTAGCCCAGGCATCGCGTTGCTGCACGATGAACAACAGAACAACACAACCCGAGCAAAGGCACCAACATCATCATCCCGTCTCCCGGAGTCGGCATACCCATGGACATCCAAGGGGCCATCGACGCAAGCAAGACCTCTCCTTGATACGGATCGAAGGGCACTCCTTACTGTGTACGCAGCACACCCATCACTTAACCTCACCTCACCTCTCGGAAAACTCAACGTCAGTGCACTACTGCGCAAGTGACAGACAACGGACGGACTGGCTGGGAAGGGCTGGCAATGCTGGCATCAGTCTCATCCCCAGGCCAGCAGGTGGTCCCAGTCCCAGTCGTGTGCCAGCCAGGAAAGCCAATGCCGTGGACCGTCGCTAACCCTGTCCCTCTGTCAGGTTCTTTCATGATGGATCCTAGCAACCTGGTCGGATGGTCGCGGTTGCTGTCGCTAGCCATTGCTAACCAGCCAGCAGCAGTGCAGCAAACCAAGACAATGCTCATCACGAGCTGGCCGGCAACCAGTCGAATCGCACTTCCACCATCGACGTCTCCGAAGGTTGCACTCTTGTGAAAATAAAAATCGGGCCCGCATCCAACTACGTCACGCATCCCCCAAGCCGAAACCCCCGGCCGTTGCTCCCTTGGCCCTTGCATTTCGTATACCCCTTGGCCTTGCACCTTCAATCGGTCCATTTGGGGTTGGGATCGACCTCTAGAAACACCTCGCAATCAACGCCCATTTGCTGCCAGCAATGCTCTTCAGGAGAAGGAGGGGTACCTGCCACGCCTACGGAGTACCTATGCAACAGCAACAGAACCAACAAGTTGGCAACGACGAGCAGAGTCGGCCAAGCACACCTGTCCCTGGCTCAATGACGGGCTGCCTTTAGGGGAATGTTGCGGCGATGGATGGACGCGCCGGCAAGGAAAAGGAGAAGGCGAAAGCTAAAAGAAACGCCGTCCCCTTGCCGGCATCTGTCGTGCCACCGCCAAAAATTCAGCCATCATCCTTGGTTCCAATTGGGAAGAGGAACGAGCAGTGCAGCGGGAAGGAACAGCAACAGTGGCTTATGTTCGGCAGACTTTTCGCCTCGTTGTCGTTCCTCGGCCCCTCTTCCATCTCATCATTGCTGTCAGACTCAAACTCCCGTCAGACTCTGCAGTCTGCAGTGCTGAGTGTGAGAGAGTCAGGACGTACAGGACTGCTGCAGCTACCTAGTAAGCTACTCACAGAGCAAGAAAAAAGCTGACGGGAGACAGAACCCAGCAAGCTGACAAGCATTCCCAAGGGTGTTCCAAGCCAAGGGCTGTCAGGGGCCCCATCACTCAGGGCATGACAGAAGAAAGACATGAAATTGGAAGGCCCAGAAGCATAGGGCCACAGCCGCCCAGCACCTGTTCCGGAGTCCCATCAGACTCCAAAGTGGCAGAGTCTAGGCGGCGTATTCACCGTATGGCGAACCCTGACTGAAGTAACGAGCATTTCAAGAAACGACATTGACTTGTTAGTGGCGCCGCTTGTACGATCCTCCACATCTATGTGAGACGCGTGTACCTCTTAACGGCCCACTTGTCGCCTGGGATCTTGCGGCTTCCACGAACATTCTGAAACGTGCCCCCCTCGCCCTACCCAGCGCCTTGGCTTTTCCAGCTTTGCCAGCTGGTAGCCAAATTTCGCCAGCTTCTCTCTCTCTCTCTCTCTCTCTCATCGTCATGGACAGGCACCGCCAGTCAACAACAACATGAACAACTACGACAAGCCCATGCTTGCTCGTCCGTCTTGGACCTGTAATTTTTTACTCGTCAATGGCCTGGAACCTGGTGTAATCATCCTTTTCCTGTCATGTTTCCAACACACGGCCCAAATGCCATATAGGTTCAGCCCGATGTCTCGAGCTTGCCCGCCACCATCATATCATGCCTTCCTCGTTGTCTTCTCTTTTTTTCTGCCTCGCCTGACCACGACGAAGTCATTCCTGCTCACTCGCCGCATTTACTGTCGCAATAGCAACCAAACAAGACGGAATTCCATCCGAGGTTTACTTCGAGGGCGTACGTACCCCCCAACCACATGAGAGATTCAAGATTTCGACCTTCTGTCTCCTACCTGCAACTTGTTTGTTGTTGCCTCTGCCCAGTTCGGATACGGGGATCCGTCAGGAGGAGACCCAAAAATAGTAAGATTGGGCTGGGGCTGATCGACTGGGGCTGAGGCGGTGCATCCACCACGCCTCGCATCGCTGCATAGCACATCTGGCGGTGGACGGGATGGATGCACAGTTCAACTCTTCTGGGCGCTAGCACGTCTTCACCACCGCTGACACAAAGGAATTTGCCCCAAACCAGCGAGCGGCTGCGTACGCCTCGTTCCAATTCAAATACCTACCTACCTAGGTACTGCTTGCTGTATGGATACTACTCAGCACGCTTGCGGCCAGTTCCGAGCCTCAGCCATGATCAGCCCCAGTGGCTACACTACCAGTTTGCACGAGGACTGTATTGTACAGACGAAGGGATCCAACAATGTTGGCGACCTCTCTGCCCTACAGGCTACGCGCCTATGAATCGGCTCAACGCTCGTTTATTAGCACCTGCTCGGAGGGGCGGCAACCGGGCCCTCTCCACACGGGTTTTTGAACCTTCTGACTCGGACAGCGAACCAACATCCACGGCCCGGATCCAGTTCGGCCACTCTCCCAGGCTTCCCAGCCGCGGACATGAGACGAAGATTGTCAGCCTCAGAACCATGGCGAAAGAAACCGCCGTCGTGTTCGTTCTCAACCTCTAATCGCTTCATTCCGCTCAAGAATGCTCGGGCGGGAAGAACTAGGTATCGGCTCTTTAGTCATGGGTGAAGGCCCTCATACGCTGCAGTGCCGTGACTCCGGATCTCGGCTCCGTTTACAGCCCCCTCCGGCGCGCCTACACATTCTTCCAGCGCGGGTGTCCCGACTGAATGGTCGGCGAGCCCGTCTCTGCGGCGTGGCTGGAGCATCCACCGCTGCGGCGCTGGTTGGTGGAACGATACTGTCAGCCGTCGGCTATTGCAACGACTGGTAACCAGCGACTTTACACCGTCTTTCTCTTTTCCCCTGAGACCTCCACTACAGCGGACTTTTACGTTACAGATGGGATAATATGTGTGAGTGTGATCGACGGCCTGGGGTAAAGGGGCCTCCCGCAACTCAATGCTTTGGCCGCTAGGCGAAAAGTTTGCCGATGTCATCGAGGCCAGGAAAGCCACAGGTGGCAGGCCTCAGAAGCTTGTTTTCGCTCAACGCTCGACCAGGGCACCACCTTGCCCGGCACGTGGAGGGCTCATCGGGACTGGACTATAAAAAGCCCGAGTGATGGTGATGGTCCGGAGGCGAAGCCGAGCCTCAAGTGACGTGTCTCGGTGGCAGAAGAGAATTATGTAATCAGGCTCAGAATGGCGCCCGGACCCAAATATCGGACGGAGGCCTTCCATGGGTGAGTTTGGATGTGAGGCGCGAGGTGCGATGAGGTTGACCATGACAACCGAAGCTGGCATCCCAGCTTCCTGACTCGCGTCTGCTTTGCCTCGGTATTACAAGAAATACAAAGTACGCAAGGTCGCTCGTGTGATTGATGAAAGCTCTTCGCATACCTAAGGGATCGGATTGAGTTTTCGGTGATTTCTACTTTTCCGTCGATTCCCATCATAGGCATGAATGTCCCGCCAAGTCAAACGACGCCGAGGTTCTTGATGCCATTGTGAAAGAAAGCCCACAACGTAGAGTCCGGACCGGAGGTTCTAGAGACTGGACTGAGCCGCAATTTGGTACATGCAGCTTCACTTTGCAGATCAAGAGCCGTCGCCCATTACCATCCTTACATGTCTACACTCGGACCAGAGTCGGTTGAAGACTAGACGATGGTATTTCGTGTCTTTTCTATGCTTATTTTGGGCCGTTGACAGGATACGGCTAATTCACCATATGAGGTGGTGTTTGCAACAAACGAGCCTACTAACTGACATCATGCGGGCTCGTGCCGGGGACCTGCTTGCTTTCTTGACGTTTTGCTAGTCAGAGCAAGAGACGGAGCCTCGGGAAGTATGAAGTCAATTCGGTTCGCTGACACAGTCTGACAGTGGTTCGTCCGGTTTTTTTTCTTTTGCAAATTCTGTGTCTCTTAAATCTTATAAATTTTCCTTTCTTGGGTTCCGGGAGTGGCCCACCAATGTTTCTGATGCGAACTGAAAGTCAGAATTCTTCACTTTAAACGATTGGTAGGCTCCTGATGTCACTTTGCTGCTCTTGTTCCTGGCGTAGAGTTTTGCCGTGGTAATGACGGGGATGCATTGGATGATATGTGGTCAAGACTGTGGTATGACATAGTTTGTCGACGGAGACTGGCCCCCGGTGTCATATTTGACGTGACTTATCACACGCTTTCTGCGGGGGGGACACAGGATCGGATCGGATCGGATCCCCCGGACTAGCTTGGTGAGATCTGACGTGTTTGTAATGACTGACTAGGGGGGTTCTGGGTTCTGGGGAACCAGAGGAGAGGGAAAAGGCCCGTCTCTTGCTTATATTGTCTTCTTTTTGGGGTAGAGCGGTTCTCTTATAGACGTTAATATGGTGGACTAGGGAGAGCTGGAAGTAGTTGAACGGTTCAGTAATGTTGAAGCGAGGAGGGCAATGGGCTGGCTTGCGGGTCTGTTGAATACCTCTGGGGTGAGACTGGGCCATCATGGAAGGAAGGTTTGGAATCTTGGATGGTCTCTGGCACGTCGGGCTTTAGGCGGGAATGTCCTGGCTGGATTTACAGTTCTAGGTGGCTGCTATGAGGGGCTCAGATGACGGCTTTTTTTGAAGCAGAGCTCTTCCTAAGTCGGCGGGAATTGAGGGTTCTCGAACTCGTCAGAAGGTCGTTTACTATTGCCGAGCTCTTTTATATGATTCGCAATACCGTTATCGTTGTCAAGATACGATATTGTCTTGGTCAATGCAATTTTATCAGCGAGGGGTAGCCCGTTGTGATGGGTGAGCGAACCATTTTGCTAGATCCTGGAAACTTGAATGGCTCAGAGATAGCAGGCGGAAGTATACAGAATTAGGTTATGTGGTTCTGTTGACGGAGTTTCTCATTGATACCAAGTCTCGGAGACACGTGTGGAGTGACATTCAAGAAACTGCCATGTCCATGGTTGGCTGGTCGCTTTGATGTCCCTTAGAGTCGGTGATCACAAGGATGTTCCCAACGAGATACTCTGTCAAGCTGCTCTGGAAGCGGTGGAAATTTCGGCTGATGCGAGGCATTCCTTTCTTGACGGGATGCTGTGTTTCGTTACCAGGCTTCGGGGTTTTCAGCAAGACGATTGTTGGGCTAGTAGACCTTACCATGCATATTGGGAATATCTTCGGTAAGTCAAACATCCCTCAACTTTCAGGAACATGTCATCGCCATAGTGGCATCATGAAGGAACCTCATCACGCCGTCCTGTGACAGATCTCGTCGCATATCTACGCTTCCTGGATAACCAGGTTTCCGCACAAGACTCCTTCCCACCCCTTTCAGAAACGAATCAGACGATAGACGCGCCGGTCTGCTGGATGTATACGTCGGTGCTAGTCCTCGCTGCCACGAATCGGAGCATCCCTTTTCATATATTGGTCTTGCATTTGTTATCTCGGGGCATGTGTCTGCATCTAGGCTGCTGTGCTAAGCTTACACGTAGCTGCCGGGTGTCAGATCACGATCCTGATGGCTGAAGCATCACCAACTTGGGCCAAAGCACGCCTTAATGGCAGAATTCTTTTTCTGAGTTTTTTTCCTTGGCTACGGGATCTATCTATACCTTAACGTCGTGGCCCTCGACAAATCTCAGATGAAATAGGAGAGGGGGTGCAAATTCGTGGACTGCGTTACCAAGAAGGTCCCCTGGTCACGGCGGCTGGCCTCCATGTCTGTAAGCGGTTCCGAAGCTGCCCTCCCCCCTCCTTCAACCCCTCTCTTTCCTATACTCCTTCGAGAGGAATCTACGGCCGCGGTCGTCATGTGCCCCAGTGACCCCAGTAACAGCCACGTACACCTTCCTACAATACCTACAGGAAAGCAACCTAAAGACCATTAGATCATCCACCTAGGACACAAAACAGATCCATGTCCAATCAAAAAACCTACAAAAGATCAAAAGAGTTCCCCCCCCACCCCCCGATGGCGAACGGGGGCTACATCTCTGGGTGCACTTGCTGGGACTCGAACACGGGACCTCTTGAAGCCTTCACCGATTAGGCTTGTGGACTCGAACCACTCCATCACCCAGCCAGTTTTGACCTGACCCCCAAAGGGGCGCCTGCTGGCTGGTGACAGGAATGGAATTGAGGGGGTCTATATGGGGTCTTGTCTGGCCGGGTGTGTATTCAGGTAGCGGGGAAAATATCGGATGAAGGTATGGTAGGGAAGGTACGATCATCACTTCTTTCCCCACTGAGGTCGGCTCGGTGTGTGAATCTTTGCGAGCCGACTGTTATCCTCGCTTATTCAACGTATTGCTGACTTGGTAGCTCAAAGGTCAATATATCGACAAATGTAGGTCCTGAAATGAAGTATGTATCACTGCTTCAGTTGCTACATATGCACCAGCGGCACTAGCAGGTACATGGCCCATTGCTAATGGAACGGGGTTTCGATGAAAGGTTTGGAAAAAGCCGAAACTATTTTCCGCGAGGTAAATAAACCTTGTTTGTTCGTTCGGTCCTTTGCTTGTTGCGAGCTCGTCGATACGAAAACAATACAAACGTGGCCGAGTTCCATGGCTATGAATAAGAGCATCGGGCCTTTTGCAAACGCTCGGCTTTTACTCGCAGATTCCGAGCCATTGGGTATCCCCACGATTCGAGAACCAGTTGGTGTAGAAGCAGATGTGAAAAGGGGGTGAGATAAGTACAAAGGCCATGGAGTGGTATTGTGTAACGCACATTAATATCACTCTACAGGGTTGAATACGAGTCTGGGGTGTAGTACCAATACCTCGTTCATGTAATGTGTATTTGTAACGACAGTATGTGATTTATCTTCGAGACTAGATTCTACCCTAATTTGGTCATGCTCCTAAGCTCGATGAACCGGAAAACAACAGGCTCTCATATTCAGTTTGAATGAAAAGTCGTCAATCAAAGAGCCTTGTGGGAGATATATCTCGGTTTCATGGACAAGATGTATTCCAACTCCCAGCGAATGACTTCTCATCAAGGCAACGCCCTTCGACAGTGATGCTGAGTGAGCGTGGGATATGACGAAGGCGTGGGTTGATGAGTGAAGTGTAAGTCATGCAGACGAGTAATTATTGGATTATGTGATATGTAAGGGAAAGCCGGTAAAGAAAATCACAACCTCGGGCTTTGTCAACGGATCAAGTGAGAGGAATTTGAAGCGCGAAATTCTATAATGTCTGGTCGCGTTAGAGAAATCTTCCAAGATTCACCGACGATCCATCTTGTGTGTTCCCACGAGGTGAAGATTTCGGTGTAGGCAGTGTAGACTTCACTATTCACCACAAAACATGGCAAAAGTACGTCGTCGTAAGACATGGATTGTAAGTTACCAAACCCCCAGAAGTAAAAGTCATTCTCCTCAGTTTGAAGTGTCGGTGCCAGACTCTGCCTTTCAACCCTGTGCCGCCGAAGCTTTCCACAGAGGATATCAAAGGCAAGATAACACAAGACAGCATAGCCTCCACCACCAAGAAGCCATCCACTCGTAATCAAAACCATCAAACTTCAGACTCGGACACATCTCCAGCTGAGACTCAACCCCCCCACCCAAGGACAGCATCCCACCAAGAAACAGTATACTCAAAACGCCAATCCATCCTCAACCAGGGCTGATAACCCACGACAC